TCTGAAATCAAAATTTCGTCCTTGGTTAAATTAATATTAGTCTGTATGATGGTTAAATTGTAATATAGAAAACTGTATAAAAAGGAAATAATCTGCTCAATATTCCTCAAAATCTCTCATTTCATACAAACTGCAGTTATTGTGTTCACTAGTTGTTCTATACTGTTAATGTTATACAGTGAATATAATGTGAAATAATGATAAAATATGTCCCTTTAGGGGTCATTATTTTACTCAAAATAGAAATAGAAACGGGGTCCCTTAAGGAAAAACGTAGGGAGCCACTAAAAATAAAATCACAAATTTGTCCTATAATAACAATCATTGCAAAGAAAATAATCAGTTTACATTTATAGGATCGACTGATGTAATATTACCCGGATGTGTTTGACCAAACAGAGGTTAAACTGTTACACCCGCATCAATAGATGATTGCAATATGATCCACATGTTTTTAATATGCCTCTTTTATACAAACTGAAATCTGTAAACAGGGGTGTGTCCACACAGCGAGGGGGGCCACTGGTCACTCCTGAAATCTGATTGGCCACCACATTAATCCTAAAGTCTTCCACTTCTTTCAGAAGCTGTAGCGGACTTCGTTTTCAAAGACAGAGCGAAGATACTGATATCATGTAAAACTAAATGAGCCAACGCATCCGCTGGTACCAACCATGTCATTCTAGCATAAATAACACTCTAAAGCATGGCGATGGGGATCCCTTGACCTCTGACCTCAAGATATCGGAATGAAAATAGGTTCTATAGGTTCCCACAAGTCTCTCCTTTGAAACCTAAGACACACACTTCATGTCACCTTCTGCATGAGTCACTGCCCCACTTGTGCCACCCCAGTAGAAATAATCTGGACACGCCCCTTCTCTGTTACAAATACAGAAGAATCAAACAGTAAAATAGATTTGTCCCCTGATGAGCAGGTGAATAAAAGTCATTTTTGGTGTCCTGTCTTCTTGTCTACAGCGAGGAGAACAAACGAAGGCCCGAGGGGGACTAGTCGCTTATTGTGTGAGAGCTGACACATAAGCAGAGGAATATGGGTGTTCCCCTTCCCAGAGGTTTAAGATGTCAGGGCAGTGCATGGTATGGTGAGGTGGGCCATTGTCCCGAGTCCCAGGGGTGGAGGAATCAAGGTGGAGGAGGAAGCAGAAGACGCTGCTTGAGGAGAGAGGTTCGACATCAGCGGCGAAAGAGAACGAGAGAGAGATCCAGACGAGGGGAGTTTAAACTTTCTCCCCCATGACTCAGAGACCACCAGGAGACAGGGAAATATGTGGTGAGTGAAAATCTCTGCTTCTTCTCATTGAATCCTCCTTAAGTGGTGGCCGAAGGCTCTTTATAGTTAACAAGATTCACTAGTGAAGTTATAATAAATCAATTTCATGTCACACTGACCCAAATGTTTTTTGTGTTTTTATTGGTTTTAAAGAAGGACAGTTGATTCACTGCTATACGCATCAGCTCATGACATGTTTTTCCTTTTATTTGTTCTATTTACTGATTGATTTAATAATTTGTAAAGTTATTTATTTTATTTATCCCTCTAGTATGATGATAATTTAGTATTGAATTGTTTTATAGGTCCCTCTATTTACAGATGACGTTTATTTATCTATAGTCAAACTGAATTGTAACTCATATGTGCCTGGCCATATTGGTAGTAAGATATTAGGTATATAAAATATAAAACAGAATGCATATATAGATACTTTAGTATATAGATACTTTAGTATCTATATATGCATATATAAAGAGTATTTATTTTTTTTTACTTTATTTAATTATAGCAGATAATGCTTAAGCCAGAATGCTGGTTACCTTAGCTTAGCATAAAGACCAGGAAACTGTGGGAGACCTGGTTGTATTCAGAACCTGCTTCTTTATAAAATGGTTTTATAGAAGGTTATTATTAAAATATAACAACTATTTCTTGGCCTGGGTGTAGTGATTTCAGCAAGTTATCTACACCCTATTAACCACAAATTGTTAGACATATGATTAGATATAATATGTTAATTAGAAAGCCTTTTAGTGTTGCTGCTTGGCATTTCTTATGGTACAGAGCCAGCCTGTTTCCCACTGTTTCCACTCTTCATGCTAAGCTAAGCTAACCGGCTGCTGGCAAACTTTATTAAAATAGAATTAATTGTAAAGGATGTAATTACACTTACAGGTAGAGAATATGGATGAGTTCAGAGTGCCCAACCTCCATGGGTTTACAAGACACCAAAAATACAGTTGCAGAGATCAAACACTTTATTTCACTGCAAAATTACCGATTTTAGATGATTATACAGCTCAGTCTTTAACAAAACATTCTGCCTTCTCTCCCAGGATTGGCACAAAAAGTTTGCTACAAAAAATGAAGGACATTTCAAGTTTTTCATAATCATCCAGCCAAAAGAAATCATCATTAGAATATTTAACTAAAAAGTATGTCCCTTATGTCCTCATTCTTAGTTTCATCTGGATCACACAACAAACTGTCCTCCTCTGGAGGGGCATTAAACCTGTCTCTGGGGTTCCCAAAGCTTCAGGGGGGTTGTAAGGCTTGATTTTAAGGAATGTAAGCAGACTTTAACAAATATACACAGCAGGCCTACATCTCAGAAATCAGTTAATTTCTAGACTAAAGACTAAAAGAACTAAAAGAACTAAATTACATTGTTATTTTTAAAGTTGAAATTATTATTTAAGCTCTGAACTTTGAAGACCTGAACACAAGCTGTATTCACACGGAGCCTCTTTCTATTGGAAAGGTTCAAACAACCAAAGAGCTAATAGAACAATGAGAGTAAAAAACATAGAATTTTCAGAAGAAGAAGAAGCCTAATAAGTCTGTAATCTGTGAGTATTAAAAATAAAAATATACATAATACAGACAGAGAACTGTGTAAACAAGTTGCTGATCAATATTCACAGGAAATTATCTGTGTTCCTCCACACATGCTTTAATTACACAAACTTGGGTGGTTAATTGTGCAATTTATTAGTTGTACTGAACTATTATTCATTGAATATGAAATAAAATATCTATAAGATATTTTACTATCACTGCTCTAGGGCCAGTGTTGCTGATAATAACTCTGCACAAAGGGATCTTTGTCTTTTAAGTTATACTTCACTGTTCTACACTGTAGCCATTCTTTATGAGACAATATCAACAGATGATTTTTCTACAAACATGAGAAACATTTTATTCCTAAATCTCCTCACAAAGTTAAGATTTCAACTCATTAGCCCGTTATGACAATGTGAAATGTACCTGTTGAGTATCTTTTTAGGGAGTTTTTGATAATTTGACATTAACGTCTGATGTTTTGGAGTTTCCCATCCCATATAATAGAAAATGCTTTCAAAAGGAGTCAAGTGCACCAGGAAGGTGCACTTTACTGTCACAAACAGTAGCCATTTACTCACATTTCAAATGCTATCTTAAGACTATAGGTGTTGCAAGAGTGGCTGCCCTTTATGGTAGGTTTCATACCCATTTCTGTCCTAGTTGGAGTCTCTCGGGGCAGCTTGATATACAGTAGACAGTTCAGCATTTCTGTAATGTGAGAGTCTGCCTCAGTCCTCTCTCTGTCCATCCAGAGCCTCCTGAGTCACAGACAATAGTCTCTGCATTGCCGGGAGAGAATATTGGCATTTAAATGGTAATCTAACCAGAACAAACAGGGATTCTTCTTATAATTCAGTTTAAGTATTTCCTTAAGCAAAATGTCGCAACTGAATTAGTGGCGACTGACAGAGTCTATCTTGGGAAAACAGATTTTAAATCAGAGCTCTCTGGTGTGTCTGGTCGGATATCAGTTCACCCAAAACACCTTGACTTTATTCCAGCCTTCCCCGGGGGAAACTGTAGTGGCAGGGAGTGTCTGGAAAGTTTTTAGATTCCTGAACAAAAGAGGTGAAAAATTTTTCCTATCAGCTTATTCCGTGTTCTTGATTATGTGGATCCCACATTGTGCTCGCTCACAACACTGCCTTCATGTGCTTAATGAAAACTCTTTTTTATTATTCAGTGTCTATAATCCATTTTTACTGGCTGAATTGGGTACATCAAACACTTAAAGACCTATCTTTTAAATCTGGCTTTAACGTTGTAGCCTCAGTTTTTTAGGTTTTAATCACTGGTTGTTGAATTATTTGTTTATTTAATTTGTTCTATCAACCTCTGAACACAAACAATCCATCAGTTTTAGAAAACATTCAGTTTTGTGAAATTTAAGAAAATATAATTGCAGGTTTTACAGACTGTGTTCATGGACCCTCTACGATTTTGGCAGTGAAGGATTAGCAAGAGCAGAAAGACAGTAAATTACCTCTTTGGGTGGTGGTGAGTTAGGACAATATGTTGAACAACACCAGCTGTAATAATAGACACCCAACCATTGTTCAGTGGGATGAAAGTAGGCTGTGGCAACACAAAGTACAGTAAGAAAGGTAACTCATACTTTGCAATTAGGTCAAATCAGCACTTTACCTGTTTCAAGAACAGAGCTGGATGACATTTCAGACTTTATATGATGCTACAGCTACTTATAAAAGATAATTATGTAAAATGCCCACTATGTTAACTTAAAAGCCGCATAATGATGGCCAATTGTCATGATCTTGTTTTCTTCAGGTTTCCACTCCTGTGGCTGATAAGTCTGTTTGCAGTGGTGGAATACTGCTGTGCAGGTATCTATCCTTCAATGAAACTTGCTGTTTTGACCCAACTCACAGAGAGTTTGACACCAAATCACACATGCTCTCTAACATATTTGAAATAATTGAGTTGACACATAATCAGATTCTCCCTCAAGCTCCTTTCTCTTCTTCTCTCTCAGTTGCTGACCTGAAGGACTGCGAGGCAGCAGGCAGCAAGTGCCACCCTCAGGCAGAGTGTCTGAAGGTCAAGAACAACTTCACCTGTGTGTGCCGCATGGGCTACCAGGGCAATGGTCTGCTGTGCACCGACATTGACGAATGTCTCAGCGGCCTGCACGGCTGTCACCCAAAGGCCCGCTGCAACAACACCCTGGGCAGCTACAGCTGTGTCTGCCTCAATGGATACTTCGGAGACGGCACCAACTGCCAGGACATAAACGAGTGTGAAAAAGAAAACGGGGGATGCCATGCTAGTGCCCTCTGTACTAACTACGACGGTGGGCGACAGTGCCAATGTAAAGTTGGCTTTGTAGGTAATGGCTTTCAGTGTACTGATGTTAACGAATGCGCTAACCAAAGGACCTGCCATTGGAACGCCACCTGCACCAACAACCCTGGGTCTTATGTATGTACCTGTAATGCTGGCTATAAGGGCAACGGAAACTACCTGTGTCTTGACATAGACGAATGTTCAGAGACTCCTCATGTGTGTTCTTCCTCACTCGGCTACAAAGGCTGTAAAAATCTGCCTGGCAGCTACAGCTGCACGTGCAGCAATGGCTTCGGAAGTAACGGGCAGAGCTGTGTGGACATCAATGAATGTGCAAGCAACATCTGCAGTCTTTATGCAGACTGTGTAAACACCATGGGCTCATATCGGTGTACCTGCAACAATGGTTTTGTAGGAAATGGACTGACATGTGCGGACATAAACGAATGCAATGAAGTCAATGAATGCGACCCCAATGCTGTTTGCATCAACAGGCTGGGGAGTTATGAGTGCTCCTGTCTGGGAGGTTTTATAGGGGATGGCCGACTGTGTGAAGACATTAATGAATGTGCAACGCCCAATATCTGCCCCTCAACCACTACCTGTGTCAACACTGGTGGCTCATTTTACTGCGACTGTGGCACAGGCTTCATCTTTAATAACTCCAAGTGCAATGACCTAGATGAGTGTGTGGCAGGCCGCTGCAGCCCCTACGCAACCTGCACAAATTCACCTGGCTCATTCTCTTGCCAGTGTAAAGCAGGGTACAGTGGAGACGGCTTCACCTGTGCGGATGTGGATGAATGCTCGCTGGTTAAGCCATGCTACTCCAATGCCCTTTGCGTTAACCTTCCTGGCTCTTACAACTGCACCTGTCGGGTGGGTTATTCTGGAGACGGGGTGAACCAGTGCAACGATGTAAATGAGTGTCTGGTGGACAATGGAGGTTGCAGAAACAAAGCTACATGTGTCAACAACCAGGGTTCCTTCTACTGTCTGTGCAAGGCGGGCTTCATCTTGGTTAACCGGACTCTTTGTCAGGATATAAATGAGTGTAAAGAACTGAGCAATCCATGTGGAGTGAATGAAGAGTGCAAGAACATTGAAGGGTCATTTGAGTGCCCCTGCCAGGTTGGTTACTACCGCCCTGCCAGCAACATGGACTGCGTTGATATGGATGAGTGTAAAAACAACCCTTGCCATGTCAACGCCACATGCCTGAACACCATCGGGTCCCACACTTGCACCTGTAAACGAGGATTCACAGCAAATGGCACCCAGTGTGAAGATATAGATGAGTGTTATGCGGAGGGTACATGTCACCCACGGGCAATATGCACCAACTTGATGGGCGACTTCTTTTGCTCATGTCAGAAAGGTTTTGAAGGTGATGGCTTCTCCTGTGAGGATATGAACGAGTGCACTCTCTCTAACGCAAGTTGCCCAGCCTTCTCAAAGTGCATCAACTCTCCCGGTGCTCATGTCTGCTCATGTTTGAATGGCACAGTGGCCTTCAATGACACCTGTGTGCCACCCAGTCCACTGTGTGACCCTGCCTGCCACATTCACGGCCTGTGCCACCTTTCGTCTGCCAGATACCAGTGCGTGTGTGACCTGGGTTACGTGGGTGATGGGCTGACTTGCTCTGACATAGATGAGTGCCAGAGGGAAAACATTTGTCCTGAAAATGATATGGAGTGTATCAATGTCCCAGGATCGTTTTCCTGTGTCTGCAAAAAAGGGTACACTCTCAACGGAACACAGTGTTTCGGTAAAACTTTTATATTTATTTTCAAAAAAATCTATCAAGTGTGTTTAAGTTAGCCTGGTTCCAGACTGAATCGCTGCCCATATCTCTGATTTGTTCAGCGATTCATATGAATCAATCATGCAGTGAAACAGAAATGGCAATTAGATCAACTGGATCTATTTGAAAGGGTAATTCATAAACTGCATTGAATGTACAAAATCTTACCAATCTTTTCTCGCCTTATTAAGTAAACTGATCAGGTAAGTCCAGATTGAAGCCATTATATCCTTTATTTTGTCTTTTCCAATCTATACCAATCAAAAAGCAGCAGATAAAGAAAAACAAGAAGAAGGATTTAAGCAATTTTTGAGGCAAATATGATGTGGATTGTCCAAAATATACATATTACAGCTACAGTACATCTTCCTGTAATATCAGGAAGTTATCCCTTATCCTTGTAACATTTATTAATCATCATTATAGTTTTAAACAAAAAAAATTCACAACACAAGGAATAATTCTCAGTTACATTACATTCAAGTGAAATTGAGAGGTAGCGGGGTTGAAGAGAAACAGTGCAGAATGATATGCAACACAGATGGAGTTAAACTGTTACACAGTTATGTGGTAACCATTAAACATTAGGCAATCAGTAAAGCATTTTGAACAGAGCTCTAAGTAGGTTTGGAAGGAGAGAGATATTTATTCCAGGACAGAGAGCGGCACACCACCTACTCTTCCTGGCTCTTAGTCAGATGAGTTTCCACACATTTCAACTTGACATGACAGTATCAGGATAACACATTTGTTTGACCTAACCTCTACATAATGAATAACGAATTGTCCTCTGATGGGATGCTGTTAAGTTTAACTATGTCCCTCTGTTTCTTCCTACCTCCTTCCCCATTTGTCCATCACCTTTCTAGATGTGAACGAGTGTGAGACAGGGCAGCAGGAGTGCAGTGAGTTTGCCCAGTGTGTCAACACAATGGGCAGCCATTCTTGCCTCTGTCTGAGCGGCTTCATAGGTGATGGGAAGAACTGTTCTGGTGAGTATCAGTTCCTAATAATGAACATCTATTGCACCAGTTGTTTGTTTTTCCTCCATACGTGGACTCTTCTGTCAGTTTTCTTTTAGCACCATTTGGGGCTGTTTCCCTGACACTGTCCCATTTTGGATAACTTATAGACTTTGATGAGTGCCAAGTCCAAAACGGAGGATGCCATCCAGTTGCCAGCTGCACTAACACGCCTGGATCTTTCTACTGTGCCTGTCCACCTGGCACGGAGGGCAATGGCACTGACTGCCGGGATGTGAACGAATGTGAGCAGAACTCCACCCTGCCACACAACTGCAGTGTTCAGGCTTTGTGCCAAAACACAGATGGGTCCTACAACTGCCAGTGCCAGGATGGATACCAGGGGGATGGCTTTGTTTGTGAGGATGTGGATGAATGTCAGCTGGCCACAACCTGCAGCAAGAACATGATTTGCAGCAACACCCCTGGCTCCTTCTCATGTTCGTGTATCTTGGATGTGGTGTACGATGTGGGCACATGTGTGAGTGAAGATACCTGCTTGAATGCTAGTAGTGAATGCCACCCACTGGCCAATTGCCACTTACACCAGGGTTCCTTCTACTGCCAGTGCATAGTTGGTTATGAAGGAAGTGGCACTGAATGCTGGGACATGGATGAATGCGACCAATCGCAAAATCAAGTCTGCCCTGCCTTCTCCTACTGCTTCAACACTAATGGCTCCTACATCTGTGACTGCTGGGAAGGGTTTCAGGACAATGGGACAAATTGTCAGGACATAGATGAATGTGTGACAGGGGACTTCACCTGCCCTGACAACAGTACCTGCGCTAACGTAGAGGGGAGCTACGGATGTACCTGCGACCCAGGCTTCTCAGGCAATGGCTCCATGTGTATGGACATCAATGAGTGCTCCCTTGGTCTAACCCTATGCCCTAATTTCTCCAACTGCTTAAACACAGTTGGATCTTTTGTCTGTGAGTGCTGGGATGGTTACGAAGACACTGACTGTGGGGATATCAATGAGTGTCTCGTCAACTCAACCTGCCCTGAGCATAGCACGTGCATCAACACCAATGGAAGCTACCTTTGTATATGTGACAGCGGATTTTCCAGCATGGATGACTTGTGTGTGGACATCGATGAATGTAGTTACACGGAGCAGGGGGAGCTTTGCACCAATGGCTTGTGTATGAATGCTATTGGCTCATATTACTGTGAATGTATCAAAGGATTCTGGAGTAATGGGACAGAGTGCCTGGATGTAGATGAATGCTCAGCCTCCCTCAACTCTTCAGTGTGTCAGCCCCATTCTACATGTATCAACATGCCTGGGTCTTACCATTGCCCCTGTAATGAAGGGTTTCTTCTGAATGGTACAGAGTGTCAGGATGTGGATGAGTGTCACCACCCAGATGGTCCACCTTGCCCTGAACACTCATTATGTAACAACACAGCGGGGTCCTTCTTCTGTCTGTGTTCTCCTGGGTACAAACCCACAAGCCTGGGCTGTGAGGATATTGACGAATGCAAGGACAACACCACCTGCCGCTTTGACCAGGTGTGCGCCAACCTGCCCGGTGCATACAACTGCTCTTGTCCACTGGGATACCACGAGGAGGAACTGGCGTGTGTCGACACCAATGAATGTGAGAACTCACCGTGCCACCCTTCTGCATGGTGCTGGAACACCCCTGGCTCCTTTTCGTGCCACTGCCCTCTGGGCTTTGCAGGAAATGGCTCGTGGTGCAATGACGTGGACGAGTGTGTCGCCCTGACCAAACCGTGCCACCTTCAAGCTCGCTGCCATAACACCCCAGGGTCATTTGTGTGTGTTTGTATTCCCGGATTCGTAAGTATGGGGCCGCTGTGTGTAGACTTTGATGAGTGCCAACAGCCTAATAATAACGGGCAGTGTCACTCTGCTGCCACCTGCTCCAACCATGTAGGAGGATTCAAATGCTCTTGCGGTCAGGGCTGGATTGCTACCAATAAAGACAATGGTCGAGGAAAAGGAGGATGTGTGGACTTGGATGAGTGTGTGTCACTCATGGCATGTCCTGGGCAGACATCTTGCACCAACCTGCCAGGGTCTTACAGTTGTTCCTGCCCCCAAAACAGCACAGTGTGCAGCGAGATGACTCTAAAGGGTTGGCTATACCTTTGTTAATCACCTGTCTTGATAATCATACCTAGATGTCTGTTTTTGTGTGTGTTTCTCGTTGTATGTGTTTTTTTGATTCATTAGTCTTAGTACTTACTACTTCCTTATGACTGTCAAAACCTTAAAGCATTTGTGTATCTCACTATTTGATTACCCAAAATATAGCCTTGTTCTATGTAGAAAACTGCATTTTTGTCTTTAGCCCATTTGTAGGTGAAGTAAAAAGTGGGGAAAAATGGACAAAGATGTTCATAATGATGATAGCAACAATTTGCAAGTTATGTTCATCCATGTAGTGTAAAGCTTGTTATAATAGCAAATGCAATTTTAAGCTAGTGCTCTCACTAGTTCACTTCAACTTGAACAAAGAACATGTAATTTGGGTAAATCAATTCAAAAGCAACCCACATGACCTAATCAAACTACAGTTTAGGATTGATGTTTTGTTCATTTGTTTGTCGCTTCCTCTGCTGCGTCAAGCTAACGTTACTGTAAGACAGTTGCATTTTTATCCACAATTTTTCCATCTGTGGTGTCAAATCCAAAATGCTTCATCACATAACTTCTCAGGAGGTTTGGTGTCTTTACTATCCAGCACTATGTTAAGCACAGCTTGCTAGTTTTCCTCCATTTTTCATTAGCAAAGAAAGCAGCAATAGCCTAGCTTACAGATAGCACAACAGGGCACACAAGAGATCAGAGTAATGGTGTGGCTTGTTGTACATTGTGAGTTTTGAATTTAAACTGATTGTTACATATCAAATAACATTTGAATGGAAAACCGCTTAAACAGGTAACAAGGGAACTGATTTGTTTGGTTGATGGCAATATAATGCTTAACTCTATATGTTCCCCCAATAGAGAGCAACCTGTACCCATTTGGAGAAGAGGTTGGTGATAAAGGAGTAATGATAGACATAGAAGATGGAAATTCCCCGTACATCACACCACCGATTGGTTTCCCCTTCTTGGGAACAGTGTACAACCGGGTTTATGTGAGTTTCTAAGTGCATTTATCTACAACACTATAAATATTAGAACGATAGGGTTAGTTTTATCTCTGCAAAGGTAAGATTTGTATTTTTAAATAATCAATATATTGAGAAATGTTTGCATCTGAATCCAAATATCACATCTCACAAGATATCTTTTAAAAAATCCTGGATTCACACCAAAAACCTCCTTGGCCCTTGACCAAACTTTCCAGCAAATTAAACTTAAATCTTTTAAAGGTCCAGCGTGTAACAATTTTTAAGATCTATTGGCAGGAATTTAATATAATATTCAGAACCATGTTTTTATTAGTATATAATCACCTAAATGTTGGAATTGTTGCGTTTTTGTTACCTTACAATGAGCCGCTTATATCTGCAGCCGCTGCTGTAGTTTCTCCTACACACGTCACAGCTTGTTCTCATTCACAGGATCATATACAAACACAAAAAGTGTTACATTAGTTGTAATCTAAAACTTTACCACTAGATGTCATTAAATCCTACACATTGGTCCCTTAACATTTTGAAAAATTTTTCAAACATATTTCCCAACTTCATTGGCAGAAGTTACAGTAATGCTCAGTGGAATATATGCCTGATAACCTTCCTGAGTGTGATATCTGATAGCGAAACACATATTACACATGGTTTACTACCATCTACAATGTGTAGATGGCAGTGAAACATTACCCACAAAATATGTGAGTAGTAAAATCATAACACAGTAGTTTAGCGGTAAAATAAATGACAAAATGGACGGATAAAAGAGACATTTTGCAATTGCAATATTGGCTGTAAAGTTGTGATTTTGATAGAAGTGATTTGATAGAATCAACCAGTTGCTGATAATATTTCTGATATCAATCCTCTCTTTCCTTTATCAGTTTTCTGATAATGGTCTTGTCCAGCTTCAATCTGTCGCTGAGAATGAACAGTACCTGCTCCCGGCTCCTTCAGCCACCGGTTTCCCAAACAACATGAATGTGTCTCTATTGGCGGTGTTTTGGGACGATGCTGACCTCACCCACGGGGACGGACGGCTGTTCTATCAGGTACCAGGAGGAGTCAAAATGAGACAGGACTTTTTATTTATGTATTTTATATATTTTAATCAAGAGTGAAGTAAAATCAAAAGCTTAGAACAGCCTTTATTGCAGCTTTTGGTTCATATTACTCCTCCTTTTCTTTCAGGAATACCATGAGCTGCATATGTCAGATGTCTTCTCGCAGATAGTGTTTAATCGTACAGCAGACGAAGTGACAAAGTTTGAGGAGCTGGCAAGCAAGCCTGCCTTTACCCCGTCCTGGATCCTCAAAATCACCTGGGACCACGTGATGCCCGTCTCCTACCAGAAGATCAACTTCTCAGAGGTAAAAACTGGGTAGTAACAGTTCAAATCAAGTATTTTTCTTTACAGAAAAATCCACTTCTAAAAAGTTTTGCAAGTACGTTGTACAATTAACCTCACTGGGCCTGTATCTATGAACCACAGCAACAAGAAATGTGATCATTATTAGGCTGTATGTATGTAAATATAACAATTTCGCTTGCAGCTCTGGAAAAAATAGACTTGATGCCGAAAACTCACTGCAAGTCAGTTCTTCTTTACATCTGGTAAACCTGCTTTAAAGTGTCAGACAGTTTATCCGATCTGAGTGAGGGACTAAAATACAATTTCAGGATATTTGATCATTTTTATTAATTTCCAGGTGTTTCAATGACTGTTAAAATAGTTTTTAAATTTCGAGGTTTTCCAGGAGGCGTAGAGATCCTGAAAAAGATTGTTCATCAGGTTAAAAGTCAAAAATGCAAGCATGAATGAATGAATCTTTTTTTTTCTGAAATGTAATTGAAACACATCTTGAAAGCAAGGCCTAACAGGCATGATCTTTGTACTTTTATTTTATTGAAATAAAGCAGAAAACATGTTCAGGATGTGTTTTACTTTCTCTCTTACACAAACAATAACTCATTGTATATATATATATATCTTACTAAATATGCATGTCCTACATAGCATAATTCACATCCTCTATAAGATAAAACGCAGCATGAGAATATAAGATCACTTTCACCTGACTGGCTTTATATGTGCAGTGGAAGGTGTGATAGAGCAGGGAGTGTTACTGTTTGCTTGCATGCTTGTCCTACTTTGAATGCTATTGTTATGTGCAACGTGAGCCCTTTAAATGTCAGCTCAAAGAAAGCAAATATTCAGTCATAATTCCTTAAAGAATCTATTTGTTTAACTTTGGTGCCACATTGGGGCTGTTTCACCTGCAGGGCCTGAATGCAGAGAGTGTAGTGATATCTGCTGCCACCTGTCTGACGTATGTCATCTTGCAGTGTCCTGTCTTGTTGCTCTTTTTTGTATTACAAAGTAGTGTTAGTCAGTGATACAATTATTGATCAAAACAAGGGTAAATGATGAGCAATACTATGACACATTAGACCAGTGGTTCCTATCACTGACAAAACTGATATTTTAAAGATACTTCCTATTACATTCAGTACTAATTTACTAACTAAACACAATTTCATTAACCCAAACAGTGAACACAGTAACTGTGAACAAAACAAGTGATTTGGATGAATTTTTAGCAGATTATTTCCTGTGAATATTGATCAGAGATACTTTTTCTGGATATTTAAGGAACTGTATTATGCATTTTTATCAAACATATATACTTAATTAGCTTCTTTATTGACAAAGTTAGTGTTGTATCAGATCTTTGGTTGTTTTAATTTTTCTAATGCAGGATGAGGTTGTTTATCAGACAGTGAAGGCTCTGTGAATATAGTTTGTGTTCAGGTCTTCACCATGCCCTTATCATGTTTATATGTCAATATACATTTATAACATATATCGATAATAATCTAAACTTTAATATATTTCTTTTTATATACAACATGGAACAGAACAATATTTCTGTAAGCCATATCGCTGCTGCAGCTGGCCAAACATTTCTGTTGCTTTCACTGTTCCTAAAACCGTTCTGATTTATACTTTTCAGACGAACACTTTCCAGTGCATCCTGACCACCGATGGAGTCCGTTCATTTGCCCTCCTGCGATACGGGGACATGAGCTGGGGTCCTGGCCAGAGGCGATACCACAACGCTCTCATCGGCTACACAGATGGGAGAACCACCCACAAAGAACCCACTGTCCCTCCGGACAACCTCTTCGGGCCCGGGGGCCGATACAGGCCCCAGCAGATGAAAGGCACCATGGGGAAGTTAGGTCAGCTGGTGTATGATTTCTCGGGACCAGCAGGGTCAGACGTGGATCCCCATATAAAGTGCCAGGCGTGGGCGATGAAGGAGCCTAACCCTGCGCAGTGGACAGTGGGGCTGTTTTCATGTCCCTGCACCCGCACCCAGGTTCTGGAGGACCTGTCGTTCCTGCAGGACACCACTGATCCGGGTTCAGTGGTGAAGAAGCTGAGGGACCAGCGGTGGGGGGGCGCAGGGGGCCACATCTTCAAGTCTGTCCTGTCTAACAGACACGGTTCGGGGAAGAGGTGTGTGTATGAGCTGGACGGGCCGTTGCTGGCTGGATACAATGAACGCTACTTCTCCGGGCAGAGCTTACAGAAACACATCGGTAAGATATGTGATGTTCTCAAATATACACTCACACTGCAACATTTAGTGAAAACTCTCAGTCAGTGAGATGTTAGTGCCTAGCTCGAGGACATCGAACTTGCACCCTTCTGCTGACAGGACAGTCTGTCTGACCCGTGCTGCAGCATTTAATCAAACATCTCTCTGCAGACGAGGATCTCCTGCCGTTCCAGTGGTGTTGTATCCAGTCTCCTCTGTGCCACCTTTACCTCAACAAGAGACCGCTGGACCGTTGCCAGGGTTACAGCTGGGCCAGCCCCGACGGCTACACGCCGGCCAAGAAAGCTACGCAGGGCTTAGGTGAGGGATTCTTCCCAATAAACACAAGTTAAAACCAGCACTAGAGCCTGTGCTGTGCAGCAGTGGCTCCCAACCCCCACCAGGGGTCGCCAGAGCTTCATGGGAGGTCTGAATGAATTAAACTACATTAAAATACACACAGTAGGTCTTTCTAGGTAGGTAGGTATTTCTCAGCATTTGGTTTATTTCTGTGAAGAAAAGTAAAGTAAATTGTCTGATAGAGCAATGGCCAAGCAAGAAAACACTAAAATTTCTCTTATGGGGGATCAATAAAGGAACATTTTATCTTATCTTAAACAACCAAAGAGCTTATAGAACAACACTGAATTTGATAAATAAAGAAACTATCAAAATAAATGATAAATAACACAGACAGAAAAAAAAATCATCCAAAATTCATCCAATCTCTTGATTTACACAAACTTTTTGTTATTGTGTTCACTGTTTGGGTTCATTGTACAGTATTATTGTAATACATTGAATATGATATGAAATATCCATAAAATATGTTACTTAGTCAGTTTACTGAATGAGAGAAAAGAGCTCTCTTAAGCAAAAAGGTTGTGAACCACTGTTGTACAGTGAGTAAGTAATACAGGTGTATAAATAACATGATAAATTTAAATTTAAAAAAAACTTCCCTCTTTTATCCACGTTTCCTTGCAGCGATGGTGTACGGCAGTCTCCATTTCATCACCTTCGATGGGACGGAGTACTCCTTCAAGGCCCTGGGAGAGTTTGTGATATTGCGTCTCTCCTCCACCACCGGCTCTAATATCTTCACCCTGCAAGGACAGACCAACAGGCTGCACACAGAGGAAAAGGGGATCGTTGAGGTCCCAGTGGTGGTGCGCATGGCTGCCTTCCACCAGGGCATTGGCAAGGTCAGGATGTTTGTGTGTGTACAGGGAAGACAATATATATATTAAAAAATGCACCCAGAAACGTGTCTTAAAGTCCCTTAAAGTGCCTTTTTTAACCCTTTAAGATCCCATCCCAAGTCATTTAGACCCATTTTTAACAATGTATGCCAAAAAATGTATCTTTTTTTCTTCCTGTAGAACAAAATGTGACGTGTTCTTATGTAAGATAAGATAAGATTCACTTGTTACAGCAGCTCCAGATTAACACAGCAGATACGAAAAAAGAAAAACACATTAAATAACAAAATAAATAGAGTATATACAGCTTTTTAAATAAATATATTGATTGAAATAGAATATTGCACATGTTACAGCAGGAGGTAGTGGCATGAAGAAATTATATATACACAGCAGTATTTTAACAGAAGAATATAGGCTATGACGGGGCCATGTGTGAACCAACCAACATGTTTCTACAGGAGCCCAGAACAGACAAACCAAACACTGGCTGTAGGTTGTAATTTTAGATTATTCTCTAATCTCTCTACTATTAATATTATTTTCAGATTGAATGGAGATGTGCAGAGAAAGGAGACAGACTGCAGGTTTTTGTGGATGATTCTGAGATCCTGGTCACAGTTGGTAATGAGCACCACACACATCTGCCATACAACAATCTAAACACAAACACAAGTAGTATATTTAATACCCAAACGCTGTTAATCGTAACAAATGAGTCATAACTGTGCTCTCAGGTGTCGTGCACATGGGTGAGAAGGACTTTGCCGTGCGCTGTGTGTCCCTGAATCGCTGTGCAGTGGTGTACGCCAGCGGCCTCCAAGTGGTGGTGTGGCGGTCTGTAGGCCACAGTCAGCTGGCGGCCATGGTGGAGGTCCCTCAGACCTTCTACAACCGCACTGTGGGTCTCATGGGTCTCTGGAGCTCCAGACGATCCGACGATTTCCTCATGTCCGATGGCAGGCTCATCCCCTCAGACCCCCCGTCAGAGGAGAGACTGCACGGCTTCGGCATGTCCTGTGAGTGAACCTTCTGAGAAATAATATCAAACATCTACATCCACCTTTAGCTGTCAGTCTGGGCTTTTTACGATGCTTTAATCAACACTTTTATATTAAGGGTGGATCAGGGGAGTCTTTTAGCATCTTTCAGCTCATTGTTTCGATCTCACAACATTCAAATTACCTAAATAATACTTAAATAACTATTTAAAGCATATAAAATTATCCAATATTCTACAAAAAAGGAAAGGTTAAAGAAAATCTCCTTCAGCCAAAGATTCTTAAATATAATCAAATTTCCTTGTGTTGAGCAAAAAAGTCTGCCAGTGGGGTAAAACAATTTTACTTGGCTTGAATTCTTAAAACTAGCATTAAAATAACCACTGAAAGACTGTAAACAGCCTTAAAACTAGAAAAAAATTGCTTATTACGAGCAATAAAAACTTTGGTCACTTTATTGAGCCGAATTTAAGAATCTGTAAAAAATCAATTTCTTCAAACAGCAGAATAAAAATAAACGACTTCAAATCTCAAATGAAGGCACCAGGCACCAGCTTCTTATTTTTTATCATTTTTTATTAAAACAATTAAAAACTAAACAGCTGCTTAATTTCCAACACTGGGACAAGACTACTTTCTCTTTAACTGAGAAGTTGTGCAAGTAGTCTCATAATCTTGTTCCTCTGCTGAGATATTATGTAAACTATTGTTGTTACTGGTTAAATTAACCTGTTTCCAGCTCCAGCAGGCAGCAGCTACCTTCCCAGCACCAAACAGCACAACAGACACAGTTAGCTGATGAACTAAAGAACATCTCCAAGAATCTCTCAGCTCCTTCTCAAAATCTATAAAACAGAGATTACAGGACAATAATCTGGAGTAGTGCTTCTGTCATTGTTTTACTAATTGTGTGCTTTTGTATGTTATGTTAATGTTTCTGATATACCATCAACCTGCCAGGGACTGCAGATAAAAAATGAGCCTGTATAGCTAAATCTGGCACATTTACATAGTGGACTTAAATCCTTGTGTTAATTAATGTGCATTTTCTCATTATAAATAAATAAACTTCAGACATAGAGGAGCAAAAGCGCCAGATATTTCCCTGAGGAGTTTTGTGAAGAATAAAAAACAGAGGTAATAGGAGAGTGAATATTGGATTTCATCAGGTTGCCTGAAACAGAGCTGATGTTGCTCTGTGTCTGCATTGCTGAGCATTTCCCACCTGCAGCATCATAATGTCAGTGAATTCGTCTTTAAAAATATGCTTCAGTGTTCCTGCTCATGGGTACAAAGCTCAGAATCGTAGATCTTCAGCTCATCCATGCAGCCTCCTCTCCCACACCTTCCGGGGCGCATTGTTGCATTATTAAGGCCTGCACAAATATATCGCAAGTTTTTTTTACCATATTGTGAAGCCCTAAATTTATTGCAAGTAACTGCACTGGCATTAAACCTTGAAGTTATCTTTGATTCTGAGTTTTTAGAACGTTAGAAGCATAAAATAACTAAGAATGCATTTAGTCATCTTAAAAACAGGCCTATACAGAGACACTAATGCACGCCTTCATTACCTGCAGGATTGACTACTGTTAATGCTCTACTCTCCGGTCTCTCCAAAACTCAGCTGCACGTGTGTTAACAAAGAAGAGAGCACATATTATACCAATTTTCTCTCTGGATTAGCTACCTGTTTGCTTCAGAATCGACACAGGCCTCCATCCCCACCATGACTTCATCCTAAACAATTTTATAATATAAATAATAAAATAAATTAGTGAGTCAAGCTTCTCCAAAACTAAATTCTTCTAGTTCAACTTCATGCAGTTCAGTGCAATGTCTGTCCCCAGCATCCCTCTCCAACTCTGTACCTGTGTGTGTTTCTAGGGGCGGTTCCGGCCCCAGAGAGCCTGTTATTCTCTCCTTCTCCACTGGTTCCACTGGAGCCCGCCTCTACTGAACACCTGCTGGAAAGCGTCAGTCCTGCTGAGGTGGAGGAGCTGAGGAGAACCTGCAAAAGCAACATGCAGTGTGTCCACGACATCCTTGCCTCCGGCAGCTCTAACCTGGGCCTGCAGACTCTGGATGCCAAGAAGCAATTTCAAAATAAGGCTCTGATCTACGGTGAGATGACTATTTTTGAAATGGTGTTTTGTGTTTTCATCGTGGACCTGTACTAATCTGATGTGGTCTGCTAGGGAACATGCCTCCCATAGTGACAGAGCCCACAGTGATCCGCTTTAAAGTCAACTCCACTGTCAGCATTCAGATTGTGGCTCAGGACCCAAATGGAGACCCCATCACCTACTCACTGCTCTACCCCAGACCTCCTCGGGCTTCCATAGGCAGCGGTGAGACACACACACTCACACACTTTCCCCTCAAATCTTCATGCTAACTAGAGCTCCCTCCTCCACCAATGTTACAGATGACGTTACTGTTGACATTTGTCAGTGGGATGGTGTGCGCACTGCTGTAGCCAGCAGTTAAGTCTTTCGGCAGATGGGACATTTCAAAGCTGAGTCACTGGATGGGTCACACAGAGAGAGACACGCACAGGCACAGAATGCACAAAAAGACTGGCAGAAAAGCCTGAAATGCTGTTTTTACTAATACAATTACATAAGAAAATACATATTTAAATGTATTAAAGGAGGAATACAATGGTTTTCAATGTTTCTGCTCCAGGTGACGGCCTCCTGACATGGACGCTCCTCACCGCGGCGCCCGTCCAGCTGACCATCAAGGTCAGCGACGAGGTCACCGGCTCCCTGTTCACGCCCATCCTGCGCGTCTGCAACTGCCTCAACGGAGGAGTCTGCCAGTATGACAGCGTTACTGAAATCCACCTGCAGGGAAAGTTCCAGGTGCAGTTTGGAGTTTTTCAGCACTTCTTTTTTGCTCGATTCATCGCTGATATACAGAATTGATGTCGACGGTGAAGAGGAAGCAAACAAAAGTCAGTTTGTGTGGATTTATAAGTGGCAGCGAAGAGAAGAGCACATAGTAGCCCATAAATGCTAACAAAGGGTGTTTCAGAGCTTCCTTTAAAGGGACATTTCACCCCAAAATCAAAAATGCATTTATTTATTTATTCATCTAGATTGTTTTGGTGTGACTTGCTGAGTTATGGAGATATCGGCCGTAAAATATAATGCAACCAGACGTCTCTTGTTTTACTTTGTTAGTAAAACTTATGTAAGCCTCTTCATTTATTATGCCATTGCACAATATATTCAGCTGCTCAAATACATTTCGTGATGCATAATTTATTTCTAAGGAAGTGTTTCTGACCAAATTCGGCTGTTTTCAGATTCAGTGTATTCCCCTGACTTCATGATGTTCCCCACTGACGTTAAGGGAATGTGGGGAAAAGGATTATTCAGAGTAGTAGAATCTTGTTTGAATGTATGCCAGACAATGTTAGCAGCTAACTCAGCTGTTCTGGTAAACCTTTTGTGCAGTTTTACTTATTTTCTTTAAGTTGACTTAATGTCATTACAAAAATGGAATCACCACTGTGCTATAATGCATCAGATCTTTTAATTTTTGTCCTTGTTTCAGCCTATAAATCATCATAAGCCCAGGTACGCATCAAATAATTTTAATGATCCACCAAAGTGTAAAGATTTGATGTTAGTCAGCTGTTTTTACAGGTAATGTAATAATTTGCTGTAGTGCAAGAAAACTGAGTAAATTCAACAAAAGCAGAAACATTTGTAGAAAGAAGATTAATTTAAGTTCTTATTCTGATAAATTCTCTTTACACACTTTTCAAATAAGTTTGGAGAAATGCTGCATATGAGTATAAATTACTTACTAGTTTTAAGTTAAATTAACTCAATTGAATTTGCACAATTAACGTGATTTACCCAAGTTACCGTAACAATAAATACAATAGATGCTTAAATTGTTTCAGTTAATAAGGCGATCGGTTTCCTCTTTCCAAGTTTGAGTTGAACAAACTTATTGGGGTTTTTTACAGTGTGTCTGTCCCTGTTACCTTCTGTTCTTTCCTCAGGTAGTGGGATGCTTGTGCCCGAAGGGATTCAGCGGAAAGTTCTGTGGGAACAAAGCAGACGTATGCCGAGGCAAACCTTGTTTCCGTGGGGTGGAGTGCCAGTCAAAGTCAGAGCCGGGGCAGTTCACCTGTGGAGAGTGTCCTGATAATACTGTCTCATACGGAAAACAGGGATACAAGTGCTTTGAGCATGGTCTGTAGCGCGTTCATGATTCCTGTTTGCAGGATTTGCTGTTGCATTATCGGGTTTGGAGAAAGAAATTGACCCCATACACTATAATTTATCTCATTCTTCTTCCCTTTGTATGCCTTCCCAGACATGTGCATCCCTCCTTTCCCCTTCCCCTGCCACAAAGACGCCATATGCCACAGCACAAAACAAAACTACACCTGCACGTGTAAGCCTGGCTTTACAGGGAACGGACAGAACTGCACAGGTACCAAACCCATTCCCTCAGTGCGAACGATAACACATTTATTCTCAAGGTTTTAGCCACACAGCTATCTTTGTCTTTATTGTAGATATAAATGAGTGTGTGGACCTCTCAACCTGCCCCAATGCCAAGTTTGAGTGCAAGAACAAGCCCGGCTCTGTGGACTGCTTCTGTAGATACCAGAACACCAAGGACGTTGATGGATGTGGTACGTGCACAATCGTGTCTGTTCAACATCATTTAGCCTGCAGGGGACTATTTTATTAGTTACACTCACAGATTATAGAAGTCAAAAATTCATTTAAATTAATTTACTTGACCCTAAAGGGACTCTTTAATCAACACCATCTAGTGGGGCTAAAATGTACTGTACTGGCTAAACGTCCTTATTTACATATAGTACATGATACATCCTATCCATTTGGATGCATTTTGAGGGGATTGTTTCCTGTTACGGAACTTTTTATAAATTTTTCTGTCTGTATTATGTATTTTTAATCATGTTTAAACAGTCATACAGACTTAATAGGCTTCATTTTGTTTTCTTGTCCCCGCCATTGTTCTATTAGACAATTTACTTTTCTTCACAGAAGTGAACCAAATGCTGAAATATTGAGTATTTGAGTTTTCTTATATCTTATATGTGCAAACAATATATATATATAAAACACAAGTGTAACATTAACTCTTACTGCAGAGCTACTAGAAGCTGTAATTGTGACAACAGTGTGTGTTTATTTCTTACTCTGACTGATCTTTTTCTCTGCAGGTGACTCTGCCAATCCTCCAGGTAAGACTTCCCACTATGCTTCTTTATCTTTATCACAGCTTTGCTCTTCCTCTGGTGTTGCCATGGTAAACACACGTCCATATACGGTGATAAGAGGTCGTAACACAGCTGTCGCTGCTGCTCTTTCTCTGCAGGGTGTAATATGTTTAACGTCTCTGTGGGCTGGAAGAAGAGCGGGACTGAAGGACTCAAACAGGTGTGTGTGTGTGGCAGAGTGTCAAAATGTAGGTAAACTTAAAAAGTTGTTAGAAATAAATACTAAAGTAAATTAACAAAGTGTGTTTACTACTCTGGTGTGTGGGTATGTCAGAGATGGCTGGCAACATATTAATTATTAACATGTAACAGTAAAATGTGTGGGACAGGCCTTTAATTCCTTTTGCACAAAACTCCAGACCAGGCTATTAAAGGAGACCTGCTTTTAATTGAAGTGTATTACGGTATTTCTCCATCTTTCTTAGCTGGTGGACATTCTGTCGATCGGTTTCCAGAACAAATTCTACAACGCCAGTTACAAGGATCCTGCACCGGGCTCCAATCTGGGTGTGGCCGAATACCGTATCAACGTGTCCAGTGACACCCCCCACTGGTACATCAGAGACTACCTGGCCAGAGTCAGCAGCCACTACGACATCAGTACTGTAGAAGTTGATGGTAAACTACCAACACTTTTAGTGATTTTCACTTTTTATAACAACTCATAGCCCATATTGTTTTTTTCTAATTGTATTGTAGGTATCAAATGTGAAAAAAAAGGATTCTGTAAGTCTTTATAATTAACTAAATTTTTTGAGATTCTTAGTCAAAATATTGAGAAAGTTT